TTAATTTATATTGTAAACACTCTTAATAGTAATATCTAATTTATTTTTTTCTTATAAACAATATCTAATTTACTTAAGAGTTCTGCCAATAAATATCATCATAAAAGTATTTTTGGAAGGTTAGTTGCACGACTCAATGCATTGGGAACACCAGTCACAAGGAACCAACAAAAATTCAAATACATGAAGCCACACGTAAAGGTTTCAACTTTCAATCATGTTAGTATTGTTACGAGGATGACATTGACTACACCCACTCCACAATAACCACTCAAAAAGAACCAACAAAAACTCGAACACATGAATCCATGTATCGAGGTTTTAACTTCGGTCAAAACCCCTATTTACACCATCTATTTATATCATTTTTGTAATTAATACTTTAATTTTTTTATATTCATACTCTTTACTTTTTAAAATCAGTGAAAAATTTAATATTTTAACAAGCCATCACGGCACTATTAAAAACGCATTATGTAGCACCCAAAAATTGATGTGGCACTATGTGATGTTATTAATCTAATGTGGATCTTTTTTTAATGATGTGATTTATTTTCTGCACATGTGGACACCATGTGTACAGTAAGACCCACTGCATGTACTGCATGGAGGGACTCAAATCCAGATCGTCGCTTTTGAGTTCCTCATGGAACCGAGCCTCCATGGAAGAACAATCTTTTAATTCACTTGCAAGAAAATTTAAGAACTCATCAAAGAATCAAATCATCATCTCATTATTCTATCAAAACCAGAAAGAATCACAAAAAAGAAAGGCCAAAAAAAGGTACAAACTGGGTTCAACGAGAAACCCAGCTCCTCACAATGGAACCTAGTTCTGGGTTCCTCGTTGTGAAGAACCCATCGAGTTACTCGATGAGGAACCCAGAGTCGCTTTTGGGTTCCTTGTGGAACCCAGCCTCCATGGAAGAACAATCTCCTAATTTCACTTGTAAGAAAATTTAAAAACCCATCAAAGAATTAATTCACTCGCAAAAAAAATTTAAGAACCCATCAAAGAATCAAATCATCGTCTTATTATTCTATCAAAACTAGAAAGAATCATAGAAAAGAAAGGCTAAAAAAAGGTACAAACTGGATTCGAGGAGGAACCCGAATCGGGTTCCTCATTGTGAGGAACCCAGATCATGTTCCTCGTCGAACAACCCAAATTGGGTTCCTCGTCGTGAGGAACCCAACGCCAAGGAACCCAAATTGGGTTCGTCGTGAGGAACCCAGATCAAGTTCCTCGTGGGACTCGATCTTTTTTTTTTTTTTTTTG